AATTTACGATCTCAAAAAAAAAATACAAATACTGATTCTGAGGCTGTGAATGATAATTGAAGTTAAATATATATATTTTTTATGCAAATTCTATAAATAGGTATCCTTTGGTTGATTAGGTATCGATTGTTATTATTATAAATAGGTACAAAATAATGTTGTTTTCTTCTTAAGCTTAAACTGTATTAAAATAATATTTGGGAAAGTCTATTTTCAACTGGAATAAATAAATGTATTTAAATTAATTATAAGGATTTAGTATTAGCATTGTACTAAGTAATAATGTTGGGAATACATGATTTTATTTTATTTTGGTTTTGTATACACATAGGGGATTGTTTGTAAGTTGTTTTGTAACTTTGCCATTGAGGTAGGAAGGTGTGGTAAACTCACCCTATATTTAAGTTGATAGTACCGTTCTGTATACATTCCAATGCTTTTTATTATATTGTTTACATTAACCGTACCGTGAGTACCCAGAAATATATCATCTTCTCACTTACGATTCAGCAACGAAATAAGGCGTTTTATTTCTCCCGCAAATAATAAATTTTATAAATTAAATAAATTAAATAATTATAAATCAAGTCAAATTATTACATATTTGAGACTCCAATGATTTTTTAGGGGCCGGTATTTCAATGTCACCTTAAGGGCCAAATTATGGACCAACTGGTTGCGCCTATGTGAGGAAATCAAGGAAAATCTAAAGGAAATGAGGGGAAATCTTAAAAAAATCATGGAAAATCTTGAGTTATAATGCCGTGGTCGAGTAATATTTCTACCTAACGTTTTGTCTATTCAAAATACAATTTTGTAATTTTCTTCTTGAATTTTTTCCGGGGTTAGGAAGCCTCAAACGAAAAAATACCAAGAGGCATTTTTTGTTAAATTTGACCCCCTCTACTGAAAAAAAAATTTTGAAGTTAGATTTTTTCATTTAAAATCTGGAAAAGTCATGAAAAATCGGAAAATTAAGGGAAAAAAGGTATATTTAACGACCGCTGGCCGTTATTTTCGAGCGATATGTTAAATTAGATAGATAGTAATTTATAGTATTTACTATCTAAACAATTGATTAGAATCATCACGTGAGCTAACCCAGCTCCGGGCCTGTGTGCCAAAATCTCCGCGGGCCCATTACAGGTCCTCCTTTTGGGTGCCACGCCAAAATTTTGACCCAAAAGTCGTTCAAAAAACACTCCTAAATTTTTTTTAGGTATATTTTTCCTTAAACGTTAAATTGTGAATTCATTATTTTCGAAATTGGTATGAATAACTATGTATAGTATTTTTAATCCGACTTGAAACACTTGAAAAACCTCTAGTCGGGCGTCACATAATTTTTTTTTTTTAAATGGTGATAATCAATATTAAACAACACAACTAAATAATACGTGGAATAAAATAGCAAATAATATATAAATTGGGATGACACTGGTTATAGAAATCGCGTAGTCTAGTCAACAGTTGCACCTACATCGTTCCCGGGAAAACATAAGTTGCCCACCCCAATAATTGAACCTATAGGCATGTGCCGACTTAAATTATTAATTTGGGCAACTGTAACGATATTTCGTCGCTACTTATGTTTCATACCGGGTGATTGTCTATATTTTGCACCCATAACTATCTCACCTGTTTGAAGAGATACCCAGAAATGTCAAATGTTAAAGTTCTAAGTAATATCAGAAACTTTGCAATTAAAGTTAGTTACAAGTATACAGGGTGTATCACGAAAGTGTGGCGAAGCAAAGTTATACTTTTTCAAATGGAATACCCCGTATATTATTGACCTATCGGATTACCCTTTCAAACCTGATTCTAAATATACTAGGTTTTTAAGGTTTATTCCTCATAGTCCAACCTTTGAATTTCTCATTTTGAAGAAATGATATGGATTTTTAATTGAATGATTACCTACCTTTATATTTTGCTGGTGGTCTCTACTTCACCTTTTTCAATAAAAATGCAATTATTTCGCCCCTTTTTTTCTTATTTTCTCCCGGACTATTAGGAAATGAACCTGAAAAACCTAGTATATTTGGAATCAGGCTTGAAAAGCTAATCCAATGGGTCAATAATAAATGGGGGTATTCCATTTGAAAAAGTTCAACTTTGCTTTGCCACACTTTTGTGACTGTACATACTTTTAACTAACTTCATTGAAAATTTTCTGAAATCACCTACAACTTTCACACTTGACATTTCTGGGTATCTTCTTCAAACAGGTGAGATAGGTGTGGGTACAAAATATAGACAATCAACCGGTACATACAGGAGGGCAGGAAGGAAACTTACAGTAGATTTTCTATGAAATTAATAGAAGAAGAGCGATGTGATGCTGAAACATCCTTGTATAATGCAGTGTTTCAAGTCAGAATAAAAATACTATACCGCTGCCGGTATTTTTTTGCGCGTAGATAGAGATAGACTATTGCCTATACATTAATCATTATTATACCGGGTGGGGCACGAAAAACTTTCCACCCAGGTTTTCTCAGGTGTTAGGTGTTTAATCAAAAATCGCTCAGACACGTCAATTTTTGTTTTTTTGGGGGACACATTCTATTGGTATTTTCACCCCCTACCTGTGAACCCCTAAGTGGGGGTAACAGAGGTACCCACAAAATTTCAAATGAAAAGGGGGATCGAGTGATACGTCATTTGATAGCTATTTTCATTAAGATTATATCCCCGAAGTTTCAAGTTGCTACTATTTACCTTGTCGAAATAGCGACTTGTCAAAGTTGGGAAAAATCAATGGAAAAATGCTGTGTGGTTTTTACCTGTTACCTACGCATAGGTGTGACAGGTAAAAACTATACAGCTTAGATTATCGAAAAAAAAGCATTTATCCTAACTTTGACATGCCGCCATTTCTGCAGGGTTAATAGTAGCAACTTAAAACTTCGGAGATATAATCTCAATGAAAATAGCTACCAAATGATATATCACTCGACCCCTCTTTCCATTTGAAATTTTGGGAGGTACCTGTCACCCCCACTTAGGGGTCCACAGGTAGGGGGGGAAAATACCAATAAAATGTGTCCCCCCAAAAACAAAAATTGACATGTCTGAGCGATTTTTGATTAAACACCTAACACCTGAGAAAACCTGAGTGGAAAGTTTTTCGTGCCCCCACCCGGTATGTACAGGGTGTCCGAATTTGGATGATAGGGGGATAGGGGGATTTGGGGATAGGAAACATCAATTTCTGAGCAAGATACAAAAAAATGAACCCCCCACTCCGAGGCTCAAATTTCTTGGAATTTTGATTGGTGCAAACCGCATTTTGATATCTTCAACCGTTTAGGCCGCTAGAGGGCGATTCTCGATTTTGAACAATAATGTGAAACCATCATAACTTTTTTGTTTATGAAAATTATTGATTTCCGTAAAAACTTTCTAGAAGCACTTTTTAAAGCAGAATTCAGTGACGTTCTCAGTTTTTTTCTAGTTGGTCCCAACTCCGAGATATTGACCAAAGTCTGGTTTTTTTCAATAGGACACTCTATATATTAATAGCTTATTAGAAAGCTCGGCTTTTTCTGATTTCAATGATAAAAGTTCGATAGGTTTATCTCTAATAGTTTTCGAGAAAAAAAATTATTTCGGTTTTTGTCATAAGAAGCAATGTGTAAGAAAAGGACTTTATATCTGCAAGGAAACTGAGAAAGGTCTCTTTCTAACTCATTGTTTCTTATGACAAAAGCCGAAATATTTTTTTTCTCAAAGCTGTTAGAGATAAACCTACCGAAATTTGTATCATTGAAATCAGCAAAAGCAGAGCTTTCTAATGAACTATTAATATATAGGGTGTCCCATTGAAAAAAATCGTATTTTGGTCAATATCTTGAAATCGAGGCCGAATAGATAAAAACTGAAAACGTCACTGAATTCTGCTTGAAAAAGTGCTTCTAGGAGGTTTTTACGGAAATCAGTTATTTTCATAAACAAAAAAGTTATGAAGATTTCACAGTATTGCTCAAAATCGAGAATCGCCCTCTAGCGGCTAAACGGTTGGAAATATCAAAATGCGGTTTGCACCAATCAAAATTTCAAGAAATTTGAGCCTTGGAGTGGGGGGTTCATTTTTTTGTATCTTGCTCAGAAATTGATGTTTCCTATTAAAACCATCCAAATTCGGACACCCTGTACAAGCAAAAAAATAAAAAGACAATAATTTTAGGTCTTTTATCTTTTGAAACATTTTTTTGCGGTTTCGATATGGAGCTCACGGGCCCCTTTCGGAGCCGGGCCTGTGTGCTTCGCACACATGGCACACCGGTAGATACGCCACTGGTTTCCAATAAATATTTCTATCTTCAAATGATGAATTATATTTAACTTTTAATAAAAGATGACAAACAATAATGACTATCCACAATACATAACAAAAACAGAAATTCAAGAGCCGGGAATAGACAAAAATTGAGACTGGAAGAAATTGTTTTCCAAGTACCTAGGAATATAAAACATATCTTTATTCCAGGCTCTTGAAGTATGTTTATCCAAAGAAATTCAAAGAGCATAGAAATTCAAGAGCCAGGAATTAAGAAGAAATTGGTAAACGAGAAAAAAAATGTTGTAGAGTTTCTCTGGAAAATGGCTTGTTGCCTTTGAAGTCCTATTCCCTTAATAATGTTTCTCGGGATCTACAAATGAGAGTTTCTTTAATAGAGTTTTTCCAGTTCTGTAGGGTGTATGATTTTGGAAAATTCATTTAGAATTTACGTAGTTTAGTTTCTAGTATTGATTGGACAAAAATCAACGCCATCTTTTGTTTTCCAACAAACCATCCCGCGTTGAAACTTTCCAAATCCAGATGCCAGCACGTACAGGCCGGTTTCCTGGAAAACAATTCCAGAGGAAACCGTTCCCTCGGGGCCCTCCGAAGGGACGCCTCGTCGTCATGCCAACGAAAAGGGTCCTGACGCGCCGAAGTATCACACAGAGCGGATGCAAGAGCCAGCGAACAATTCAGTGAAAGCACGCCAGAGTGCCACGCCAGACACGACGATGCCGCCTTTTTGTCTCTTCACGAAGTCGCTACTCTGGTACCTGCTACAATGAATCCGTGGCGTGAAAGCACTTTTTTCCCCAGCAGTCGAGTCAGTGTCGTTGGAACTTGCAACCGGTCCAAACAATAATCGTACAATGTGAAAATGAGTACCATGGTAGACGGTTTGAATTCGCCCGGCGGCGGCGCCTTTTACGGTCGTACCGGTATTCTCGAGACGCACGTGCGCGGCCAATGGTACCGTGTCTTCGTCACGCTCGAAGACGATTTCCTGTGCATCACCTTGGACGAGTCGTACGAGAATACGACTACTTTGAATGGTACTTTGAACAATAACATCGAAACTCCGAGCGGTTTATGTGAAACCCCGGACGTACCTGACGGGGTACTGATCGGCCAGAAAAGGGCGGTACGAGTTGTTAAATCGGAAAACAACGGTTTGGGGATTTCGATTAAGGGCGGCATGGAAAACAAAATGCCAATTTTGATTAGTAAGATTTTCAAAGGGATGGCGGCCGATCAGACTGAGCTTCTTTACGTTGGGGATGCTATTTTGTCGGTCAACGGGGAAGATTTGAGGGAGGCTACGCACGACGAAGCAGTCAAGGCGTTGAAGAAAGCTGGAAAAATCGTCGAACTTGAAGGCAAGTCCAACAGTTTGGTTTGTATATGTAGTTTTGCCGTTACAAAACAACAGGTTGTTGTTTACACGTATTTGAATTTGATATTAGTTTCAAAGTTGGATTAAAGTCTTGTCAAACTTGTTTGATGCATTGATTAGTTGTGGAAGTTTTTAGTCTTGGTTGGTGTACTTACATATTTGCTTTTTCCAAAAACTCTCCGGTGCGGTATATTCACCTCACTTATATTGATTAAGCATATACCGGCGTAAACCAAGGGTTGCAAACTTAGGAGTTATTAGAAGTAGTTTGTTGACGCTCTTTGTGTTAGAGGTTTTTTTGAGATTCAGTCAGGTTGATGAATATTTTTCTTACATTTCAAAGTTGAATATTTCCAGTGGCGGCTCGTGACTATTTCAAGTGAGGAGGCTAGAAAATAATGTAAGGTTACCACTGCGCAGCAGGCAAAATTTGTTTTGGGGTGCCCATGCCCTCAATAATCCAGGGCCGTAGCTAGAATCAAATTTGTGATAGGGCATGACAAATTTGACATAGGGCATACACTACTTGCACTCCCCCCCTTAAATTATAAGTAAACAATCCGGTGGTAATGGCGCCGAAGGCAAATTTTTCAATAAATAATATTTTTGGCAAGTAAACAAAATGGCGCTGATTCTCGGGCCGCCTTGGACCATTCGCACCAAGGATAATACACACTAAAAGTGAAATCCATTGGTAAGTTCAGTACGCACTGAGTGCATTCGTGTCCTCTTCTACTAGCATGATGTAAAAGAAAGTGACAGAAATACATGTTTTTTTGCACTAATTTCACCAATGGTTTTCGCCATAACTACCAGTGGCGGCTCGTCAAAGGAGGCAGAGGACGCTGAACCTCCCCCAAAAAATTGAAAATTCAATCTCAATTTTTTATTCCTGATTTCTAATTAAAATAATAATTAACAAATTACACTTTCCAATTTTCGATATTTCAATGTAATTCAGAAAAGTCTGACAACATTATTTCAATCAATCCCGCGCCTCCACGACAAATATCTGTGAATCTGGGATACTCAGTAATACCGGCCCGAAGGGCCGGAGTTATATGCGAGCCCGAAGGGCCGGAGTTATATGCGAGCCCGAAGGGCCGGAGTTATATGCGAGCCCGAAGGGCCGGAGTTATATGCGAGCCCGAAGGGCCGGAGTAATATGCGAGCCCGAAGGGCCAGAGTTATATGCGAGCCCGAAGGGCCGGAGTTATATGCGAGCCTGAAGGGCCGGAGTAATACGAGCCCGAAAGGCTAGAGTTATTTTAATCACGGGGCCTAGTTTATAATTGACCTTTTCAATTTAGAAGCCTCTTTCTAACGTCCGATCAAAGAGTCAGGAATATTCAAAAACTTTAGTTTTATCAAATTGGCTTTGGAATGTTGGTTTTCTTAAGATTTCTAGTTTTTTCAGAAAACGGTGGTTTTTGCAAACATATACTACTTTATCATTGGTCGGGTTCATCAGGACATAGCGCTACAGTAGCGATCATCAACAGTGTTGCCAGTTTATTACAAATGAAGCAAATCCATTACATTTATCAAAGGTTAATTATTTACATTATTACATTTCCAATAAATTTATTATATTTTCACTTATTTAACCAAAAATTATTAAAATTAATGAGTTCCGCTTGAAACACTGAGCGCTCGGACCATTTTCCATCTTTTTTTCCTTTTGGTGAGAAGAACAGGGATAAAATTTGCCACAATTGTAATAGTTTGGCAACATTGCTGATGATCGCTATTGTAGCGCTACGTCCTGATGAACCCGACCATTGTCTTTGTCTTACTCACTATAATCAATAAGTAAACCTTTAAATGTCATTTTCATTGAAATTAAACTAAAAACAAGTTGCCTATAATTTATTTGGGGAATTTTAATTATTATAATCATTATTAATTAATTATTAAAATGAATTTTAAACAAAAAACCCTTTTAAAATGTTATTTTTGCTTTCCGAAATGAGATGTGGCAACGTTGCTTTTAGTTGGCCATTTTGAAGTGACGCCTTGTAATTTTTTGCCAGTTTTTCTTCGAATTTTTCACTTTTCCGGGGCTTTTCAATGGAAAAAGGCAATTTAACATACGAGGCTTTGAGTTTTCTTCATTTTCTAGCAAAAATGTCCCGTTTTAAAATGACATAAATAACAAAATCCCATTTAAAATATTTTTTTTTTGGAAGTTTTGATGTGGCAACACCGCTTGTACCAACTTCAAATAGGTTTTGTAATAAATGTCATTTGCCAGTTTTGACAGTTAGCAATTTTTAATTGACGTGTTTCCATTTCTATTCAGTTTTTCCTCGAATTTTCCACTTTTCCAAGCCGTTTTCAGTCAAGAAACCCAATTTGAAATACGATGCTTTGAATTTCCTACATTTTGTGCTAAAAATTCCCAGTTTTCCAATGGGGTAAGTGACAAAAACTCAAATTTCATTAAGTAGGCTTTGGAATGTCATTTTTAGAGGTTTTTCTTTGAATTTTTCTGTTTTTCCAGGGCTTTTCTGGTCGGAAAAACCGAGTTAAAGTACGAGACTTTGAGTTTTTTTCATTTTCCACCAAAAATTTCCAGTGTTTTAACGGGGTAAGTGAGAAAAATTTTAGTTTTATCAAGTAGGTTTTGGAATATCATTTTCGTTGCTTTTTTGAATTTTTATTTAAGGTTTTTGGGGTCCGGGGATCGTTTTCTATCACTTTTTTTCTCGAAATTCGCAAAATAAAAAAAAAATTATTTTTCGACGTTGACAGCTGTCAATTTTTTTTTGACACAAATTTATAGTTGGCGTCGCGAAACTGCCTTGTACCGTGGTTTGGTTTTCGTAGCTTTTATAGTAGAGCGGGAAAAAAGTCGAACATGTGTCAAATTTGACAGGTGACATATGTTAATATTGCCAAAGTGTCGTGCGACAAAAGTTTTATCCGAACGAACCCGTTCATTGTTAACTGTTTTTTAATACTCCGGCCCTTCGGGCCGTAATCTTTGAAACAAAAAGACGTCATTTTGTATCGATTGTCAAAAAAACCCAAGGTTTGAAATTTCAATTTTTTGACGTTTGTTGTATCATGAGCAGCGTTGCCATATATTTTTATCAAATCTCGATTTATAGGTTATTTTAAACCCAATCATTGACATTTCTGAAAAATATTTCCTTTAAAATTCCCAAATATCCTTTGGAATCTCCAAAAATCTATTAAAATCTCAGAATTCCATAATTTAGTGGAATTTCGGTAGAATAATTATGTTATTCTGAAAAAAGAATTAAATGTGAAATTTTTGCGGAGTTTCCATAGAATTCACATTAAATTTTAATTCCTCTCGAATTACTTGAAATTTTAGTGAAATTCCGATCGAATTACACGAAATCCTAAATGAATTACATGTAGGAAATTTAAACAATTACATGAAATTACACCGAAATTCCCAACATGAAGTTTCAGTTTTTACTGAATTTTAGTAATGCCGAGGAATTTCCAGCTAAATACATGGAATTTCGATCATATTCCGAAAAATTACCATGTAATAACATGAAATTTAAATATATTTCGATGAATTTTTAAGAAATTACTTGAAACTTCATTAATATTCCCAGAAATTCCTGGCTATTAAAAGAGAATTTCAGTGTAATTCCGAAAAATTCTTATGAAAATAAATTAAATTTTGAAAATTCTTTGAAGTTTCATTAGACTTTCGAGAAATTTTCGGTTATGAACGTGGATATTCTTATAAAATTTTAGTAAATTCCGAGAAATTTTTAAGAAATTACATGAAATTCCAAAAAAATTTATGAAAATTTTGTGGAATTCCAGGATATTTTAGTGGTAAAATTTTGAGGAATTTTAATAAAGTTAAAAAAAATATATGGAATTTTGAAATTGAAATCTTAGGTGGAATTTCGAGGAATTTCATGAAATCCTATACTGTAATTACAGGGCCGTAGCTAGAGTCAAATTTGTGATAGGGCATGACAAATTTGACATAGGGCATACACTACTTGCCTCCCCCCTCGTAATTTTTTTACAGGTACCTTAACAAAATGGGGGTAATGGAAGTAAGGCAAATTTTCCAATAGATAACATCTCCGGGGTTCTCTGGTAAAAATTCAAAATGGGGCTGATTCTTTCGCCGTCTTTGACTATTCGTACCAAGGATAATATACATTAAGTACTACTACAGAATAGCTTATCCTAATAGGGCCAAAAAACCAGTGATGACGTAGGCAGCGTGTCGTTTCTCACCTTGACGTAGGGTGCTTGCACCACAGGTTATGATTCTGCGCCTATTATGCTAATCAAAATAAGTAACATCAGTGTAGTATCTAGTGTGTATTATCCTTGCGCTCACACTCTTTCGAAACGAAAAACTTTCTCTGTAAACGTCGAACGTCAAACATTGTTGCATACATTTAGGCGTTTTCGGAAACACTTATCCTCCCACTTACTCAATTTCAGGCCTATTCCTTATCTACTCCTAAATTTCGTAGAGAAACCTTGACGCATGTTGTGTTTTAAAGGCAGGGCATGATCATTTGAAAGATAGAGCATTGCCCCCAAATGCCCCCCCTGCCTACGGCCTTGTTTTTTGGCCACATGAGAGTGATTTTTTGAGGTCGCTTCACGACACGATTTATAAAATTTTCGTCTCGCAAGTGAGATGAAGCATATTATGATGAATATGAGGGAGAGAGAGTAAGTATTCACTTCTATCACGTGTACTGTGCTGCACGCGACTTTTTGACATCCGATATAAAATGGCGTCTTTTTGTTTCAAAGATTACGGTCCGAAAAGCCGAAGTATTAAAATCAGTTGACAATGAATGGGTTCGTATAACTCCGGTCCTTCGGGCACATAATTAAAATAACTCCGGCCCTTCGGGTTTGCATGACTCCGGCCCTTCGGACTCGTTTAACCTCGGCTCTTTGAGCTCATAATAGGAATGTTCACAAAATAAAAAAATCCTCTTTAACAATCATCAAACT